GCAGCGGCGGCGGCGCGGAGGAGCGAGGCGTGCGGACCGAGAGCGCGCCGCGCGGTCAGAGCGCCCTGGAGGTTCCAGTGAGCCGCGGGCGCCACGCGGGAGTCGCTCTTTTCATCTTGTCCAATTGGTTCCTAAGTTCACATCCCGGCGGCGGCGCGGAGGCGCACCTGGGGCGCTCCTCGGCGTTTCTGGGCGGCAGGAGGCGGCAGGGCCTGGGCTGGCGGCGTGGGGGAGGCGGTGCCGGCGCGGGAGGGGCCGGGGAGCGGCCGAGAGGCAGTCCTGGCCTCGGATGACAGCGCGTCCCGGAGCGGGCGGGGGCCGGGCCAAGCTCCTGAATCGTTTGCAGAGCCCTTGAGCGTGAATGGGGAAGATCAAAAGGTTAAAGGAAAATAAAGTATCAAGAAGGTGACGATTTCAACACACTGGTTCGACTAGTACGTCCTTCAAGAAGAAATTAATGATTGGGTTTGTTTATCTGGGATGAGAGTAAAAGGGAGGCAGGGAAGGAATGCATAAGTACATTTCTAAACCAAAATAAAAAACACACCTTAAAATCCAAAAAATCAAACTCGTTGCCTTCGAGGGGACTCCGATTCACAGAGACCCTATGACAGATTAGAATTGCACCATAGGGTTTTCCCTGCTGCAGTCTTTAGAGGCGCAAGACCCCTAGGTATGCCTCTCAAACCGTTTCCCACTGGCTGGTTCCAACCGGCCTTTCCTTTCGTAGCCTTGTGGTTAACCAGCGTACCACCAGGGTTCCTTAGGTACAATTTGTGGTTAAGTGCCGTCGAGTCGGTTCCGACTCAACGCGACCCTGTATAGGATTTCCGAGGAGCCGTTGGTGGATTTGAACAGCCGACCTTGTGATTAGCAGCCCCGTGCTAATCACACAGCGCTGTTTACACCAGGACTCCACGTACAATTTGACCATTTTTTTCAGGCACAATTCCAAACCACCAAAGGCATTTACCACGTCCTTTGGAGATTCTAAATTCCTGGTCACATATTTTCAAGACCTAAAACCCACTAGAGAAAAGATAAACTGAAGTCCAACTGAATCCCATTCGAGTCCCGGGAGTGAGATTAAATTATTTTCTTTTGTAATTTCTGTTTTTCATAATGATGGTATTCAAAACCTTGAGGTTTTCCAGTAGATATTTAAACTGAAAGCAACATTGTACTTGTTCTTACACTTGACCAAGACTTTCTGTCTCTTGTCTCAGAATATTTCGCAAATCACAGACAAAAAACAAACAAATAAACAAATCCAAGCTAGAGTAGACCTCTCATGGGGACTTTGACCCAGGCAGCAAGCCAGGCATCCTCCAGTGGGGGCGGGTGGGGATGAGTAAGGCGCTCAGGGATATCCTGATTCAAAGAGTCTCTCTACCCTCAAACCAAGATGAAAATGGGTAACAAGTCACTCTCCATCCCCCACCCCAAATGGCTGGTCGTTTTGTTCTCTAGGTTTAACACGTGCCCTCAGTTTATCCTCGCCTTTTGTAGTGGAGGATGAAACATCACTGCAGTTAGAATTGTTTGAGGTGATTGATTTGAAGGTAGAGTTAATGAGAATAATGGAGTTAACAAGGTGCCTGTAATGTCAACTACTGATTCAAACACACACACTCACACACACACACATCAGAGTGGTAATCCCAACCTGGAGTTCTCTAGGTTGGTTTAGCCCTACAGACACCCTGGCACTTAGAATAATATTTATTATACTGGTATTATTCCCTGGTGTGGCGCTGTGGATTAATGCGCCAGACTGCAAAGCCGTTTGAACTGCAAGGTCGGTGGTTCAAGCTCACCAGCTGCTCCTCGGAAACCCTATACAGGGTGTCTATGACAGCACCTCACAACAATTATTCCCTGGTGCTTGCTATCAGGGAGAAATGCTGGTCTGAAAGCTGGGTTGGGTGATAAATTCTTGAGTTCATTTACAAGACTCTTGAGTTAGATAATTAATTAATTGATAGGACAGACAGAGTCCTGGTGTTACATTATAGGATAAGTACTTGACCACATCGTTGCTTTGAACCAAAAGGTCGGCAGTTCAAACTCAGCAGTCACCCCACTCCTTGGAAAGGTCACTATGGGTTAGGAGCCATCTCTAAGACAATTAACAGCAATATAGGGCAGAGAGTTAACAGG